GGTGGTGTGTTCTCAGTTCGTTTCTAATGCCTCACACACGTACTACTACTCCATACCGATGCTCCCTCTCACATGCCCAGATTGTGTGCGACTATCGTCTTTCTGTCAGTCTGGCAAATCATCCTTGGAGATGTCTGAATGTTTGGATTAGCCCATTCCCGTTTTTCACAGGCACCAGGCACCGTTGATGATGATGTTCGGTGTGGGTTTCACTTCTTGGGAGATCGTTAATTCCTCACTGTTTGTATGCATTTTAAATGCGATGGAAATGTTTGTGAGAACCAACAAAGAGCACTGGACAGCTGTTTCCTGTCCTGTTTGGGACTCGTCAGCAGTGCGCGTACGTTTTGTATCCCCGTGTCAGGACTCGAATCGCGATCAGTCGGGCTGGAACTTCAAACCCTTGGTCGACGGTTATCACCTTGTGCGAATGACTCAATCAAAAAGTACGCACTCCTTAGCACTGTTCCAATTCTCATGTTCTTTTGGTGTTCATATCACCAGTCATTCGTCACGCAGTACTGTATCGTAAAGAGATGTGGCGTGGTCACGGGGCTGGGGCTGAGAGGTGGTCCGTACTCGTACACGTTCCCGAGGCATTTTACTTCGCTTGGATTTGCTCGGGTGCAATTTTTGGCTTCACATGGGAGAGAAACTAATACCAAAAAGCAACTGTGTTGTTGTGATTGTTTCAACAGCTCGCTCTCGACACGCCACTCATTCCAATTATGGTCTATGGAACGAACGCACAGCACCAGCAGTAGCAGCACAGTCAAACCTTACACGGGATATGAAACAGTTCGCATGTGATCGATTCATCGAAGGTTCTGTTCGTCTGATTGGAATATTTTCTCACTTGCAGTCGCTCACTGACGTGCATGGTCTGTCTCCGTCAGTTGCGATGGTTGGAACTTGTGTCGCGCTAACTTACTTATAGGTACTGAATCCAGACTGTGTGCCAAAAACGAATCAGTACAATAATCCTGGTTTGTGCGTGGAATACTACCAGGTTGTCCAGACCAAGGTAGGTGAATTTTCTTGGGGAATTCACAACCGGAGCCTTAGGTTAGCCAAAGTCTTACTCGCAGGGCAGCGGGGTTGGGGAGCATTGTATGTGTGCGTGTGAAGACCGCAATCCACTGGGGGCCGGTGTCCAATTCATACGCCCTTTGGACGGGGTCAAATGTCCAAGGTGCCCAATACACCCACGTATAGGCTTTGGTGATGATTTAATCCTTCATGATAACGCCAGGCATTGAGCTACACTTTAGTGTCAGGACAATGAACCACATGTCAATAGTTTCAAACAAAACAGAAGCTGTGTGATGTGGAAAACTCAAACAGGTGATTGATTTCCCTCACCAACCTAACCACTACTTCTGTGACCTTGTGCATCTCCTTCATGGTAGACTTTGGCGGACGACTATCGATTAGAGCGATTCCATGAGTCAGTTGCGATTGCAACTGTCGATTTCTGTTTCGTGCCTATTCCGAGTACTAAAGCTGCTTTGACGTTTCGATCTATGGCGGGACAGGCGATGCTTGAAGGAAGTTTGAGGGCATGAATATATGTATGTATGATCCCCACCATCGCTGAAGCTGACCCCGTCGGGGTTCCGCGTGTTTTAATCAACGCTTGGGCACGTTAGACAATCTAGCTCCTGATCATTCCATTATCACTCGTTCCTCGATCCACCGTCATGCGCACACGTTGTACGTTTCTCATGTGTTTAACACAATTCGGCTCCGAGTTGTTCTATCACGACAACAACAACTGTTGTTGCTCACCGATCACATACCACCACCGCCCTCCTACGCGCATCGTCCTCTTTTGTTTTAAATACACATCATTGTGTTAAAACACAGTCGGCGGGCTACACCTCATAGCCATAATGACTTAGTGTTCGTCCGAGATTACCGGGGACTTGAAGTGGTGATCTACCTAAGGCCTCACTAGCCTAGGCGTGGTATTTATCGTGTAGCCATCGATTTCTTATCATGTTTGATTGGTCATTCCCGATAATGTTTGCCACCTCTCATATACGAAAATCCAAATACCACTGAATAGTATAGTAGTGATACATGCTGGTCATTTCGCGAATTTACGCATCATGACCGTTTTTCTGAGTGATTTTGATCATCATCATTATCATCATCATCATCAGTTGGCATCAATTGAGCCATTCTCTCCTTCTCGTCTCACTCCGCCACTGACCGGGCAACAACTCATCATAACTATCGATATGTGTGTGTTTCTGTGCCGATGTTTTTATACTTAGTGTACAAAACAACGTTTACTCTAACAGCACTTGTTCACTGCTAACCTCCCCTCCCCCCCCCCCC